CCTTGTAAGCCAAATATGATGAAGAAGATTTGAGATTGATTTTGTTGTGTTATTTTCCCGCCTCATACATATGTTTTAGATAAATTATTTTACTATTGAAGAAGTCTACAATGTTCTATATTCAGAGAAGATGGAGCATCTTGTAGCATATTGGGATGATGGAGATGGTCTCATTGTTCATGGTAGTTGTTCGAGGGGGTAAGTCAAAATCTAACTTCAAATTTTATAATTATTGCAAGAAAAATGGGCACTTAGTAAACGATTGTTATAAGTTGTAGAATAAATCAAAGTGAATTACAAATCAATAATCAGAAAGTTCAGGAGAAGAAAGTATTGCAGAAAGTCCTAGTAGTGATGGAGAGCTTCTACTTATGTCTAACTACATCTCTAAATCTGATTATGTTTAGATTTTGGATACAGCTTGCACTTTTCATATGTCATCCAATCGGGAATCTTTTTCAACATATGAAGAAATTTCAAAAGGTGTTGTGATGACCAATAATAACACTCCTTCTCGGATAGCTAGTATTGATCAGGTCAGAATAAAGATATTTTATGGAACTATTAGAACACTTGAAGCAGTGAGACACATTCCAAATCTGAAGAGAAATCTTATCTCTTTAAGTTGTCTTGATTCAAAACGGTAAATGTACAATGTTGAAGATGGAGTTCTGAAAGTTATCAAAAGAGCTCATGTTATGCTGATGTGACATAGAAAATCCCATTTATATATCTTGGAGGGTCATATGGAATTTTTGAGTAATCAACATATTTTAAGAACTTAGGTAGATTTAGAATTGGCTTTTGTACTGTTGGAGTATAATTTTGGGTCTTCTTTAAAAAATATATCTCAGTTGAATTTTGAACATATGGATAAATACGTTTTGAAATCATTATTGACGGTGTCATCGTATTCAACTGCTAGAAATAGACCTATTTTTCCCATAAGATTCCATATAGGTACAGTTCTGCTGATTTTGTTGATGATTTGAATGCAGTTAAGAGTGTTGATTCTAGTCAAGATCCTTGTTTTGATGCATAAAGTTGTGATTTTGTTACATGACTTGTTTCAACTCTTTTTTGTGGTCATTAGATCACTTTTACCCCTAATTGGGGTAGTAGAAGTGGAGAATATTTCCAGTTGGATTGTTAATGGAGAAGTTTGTTTGTGTTTTTTATTGAAGAGTTTGAGTTTATTCCTTACAGTGGAATTTTTTGTCAAGGCGGGAATTGTTATAATTTGGGTGTGACCAGAATTTTTTGTTGAAAATAATTGAGAGTTCTAATTAAAGAGCACATTAAGAAGAATCATATTTGGAATGCAATTATGAAATTCTATTCAAGTTTATTTGGCAAATTCTAATTAAAGTTCTACTTGGAAACCCATTTGGAGTAGGAAATTGTTTTAGACTTGAAGAAAATTTTGGAATGAAAAAAAAAAAACACTTTTGAAAGGTTTTTTGGATGGAGACGGGGCACTGGGACTCAAGTTGCGGTGCCAAGTGCCACCCGCACTAAAATAGGCGGAATAGTCAGCGCCACGGTGCCGCTACTCAGAGATGGGCGTCTTGGTGCCACCCCCTGTTTCGCTCATGTGCGATTTTTCTGCCATTTTTTCGTTTTGGACTCTGTTTTTGCATTTTCTTTCATCTATAACTTTACTATAAGAGTTTGGACGTCCCCTAACTGTTCTCTCTCTCTCTCTCTCTCTCTCTCTCTCTCTC